GGCTTTGGGCTTTGGGCTTTGGGCTGGGAAGTGCTTGGTGGGCTAAGTTTGGAGTGCTGTCGGGGTGGGCTGGACTGTGGCTGGGCTGGGCTGCTGCTGCTGTGGGGTTACCTGGCCTGCGCTCGGCTGATTTGGGGCTGGCTGGACTGGGTGCAGGGGTGGCGGCTGGGCTTGCTCAACCCTGAAACTGAAGCTGAAACTGAAGTTGGTTTATCAGAAACGCAGAGCTGTGTCTCGACAGAAAAAAATTAAGGTGGGGTCTGGGTTTTGCTGGCTGCTTTGGGCTGCTGGGGCTCCGGCTTGCTGGGCCATCGAGCTGCCGTGCTCAACCCTGAAACTGAGATTGGCTTATGAGAAATGCAAAGGCCGTGTCTCGACCAAAAAAATCAGGTTTCCAAATGGCCAACAGCAACAAGCAATTTCTATTTATTTCTTTCTTGTAGGGTTTAGGGTTTAGGGGTTGGGGTTTAGGGGCTGTACCGGTAGTGTTAGGATTCAAGGCTTCGGGGTGTGGGGCTTTGGGGCTTGAGGTTTAGGGCTCAGGGATTAGCGCATAAGACTTATAGCTTTCTGGTTGTGGATGTGTCACGTAGGAGTTCTGGAGTGCGGACCTAGGGTTTCAGGTACATCAAGTTAAACTCTAAACCCTAAACCCTAAACCCCTAAACCCTAAACCCTAAACCCCTAAACCCTAAACCCTAAACCCCTAAACCCTAAACCCTAAACCCTAAGCCCACCCTCCCCCGCAACATCTTCGACACCTCACGCGGCCGCTGAAAGAGGGCCCGGCGCTCCTGACCACTGGTGCAGGGAGTTAAGGCTTGGGGTTTAGGGTTTAGGGGTTTAGGGTTTAGGGGCTTTTCGTTTAGGGTTTAGGGGTTTAGGGGCTTTTCGTTGAGGGTTTAGGGTTTAGGGGTTTGGGGGTTTAGGGTGTAGGGGGTTTAGGGTGCAGTCTCACTTGGGAGGTTGTGGACATTGGAGTCCCCCCTATGCCGATGAAACGGGTCCGAGGGTCCCTTGTTCGTTTTCTGTGCCCGTGCTAATGCAGCTATACGGTGTATGATATCTAAGATATGCAATGACAAAGGCTACTTTCCGAAAAACAAAAACGATGCCGAACATTCTGGTGGCTGATGCCCGCAAGCCTAGATCTTATCTTGACAACTCAACAAACAAGGCCAAAGGCGCCAAGGAATATCTCAAACTCCTGCATTGTCACTTTGGTTCTGTTTAGTACTCATAGTAAGCATAGTAAAAACATGTAGCTCTGGCGCGGCATTTGGGAGCTCCTTCTTGCCAAATCCTACCTTGACCTTCCATTGTAGTATCTGTTTCTGGTTGCCTGAACATTGCTGGTGTCTTAGTCTTATCATGACATACCAACCATAAAACAAGCTATCCTAAACCCTTAAAACTCAGGGTCCGGGAAAACCCTAAACCCTGAAACCCTAAACCCTGAATCCTAAACCCTAAACCCTGAATCCTAAACCCTAAACCCTAAACCCACATAAGAGGGGTGCCTTGAAACGGCAGCCCTGAACCCTGAAACTGCCAGCCGGCTACCTCCACGACTTTGGCTTTCAGCTTCGCCAAACGAGAGCCAACTCCTGAGGAGCTGCAACAGCAAGAACAACTAAACTCGTATTTGTTACTATATAGCTCAGGATTCCAATCTTCGCTCTAGTATAAACATAATGTAGCGTCAGAAGGATATGAAACTCGCCGGTGAAGATGTGTTGGTGCAAAAGTTCACATGTCACACATGTAACATCATGTAAGCAGACTTCCTTTTCTTCTTTTTTCGAATGTGAAAACAGTCGTACATCGCTATTTCAATATTTGTGTGTATAATATATATATATATGTGTGTGTGTGTGTATATGCATAAGCACATGTATGTGCCGAGGCGTACTTACGCATGCATGGATGTGCACACGCGTGTACAATGCAACTCGCACATAAATGCCTAAATCCCAATCCGTACGCACATGCATATACATATAACCTACCGACCTGCCCGCCCGCCCACCCACACACCACGATGCGTGTTTGTGAGTGTGTTCTTTTCTGATTATGCGAAACGAAAGAATGCAACATGTAGGTTTGGGAATTGATACTCTGGGGAATGGTGCTGAATGTCAGCGGGCACAGGTGCTCTTGGCATTACAGTATGGAATGGACCTAGCTAGACGCCAGAATGGATTTATCGGGAAACGGATGTTGACAGGCGGGCCTTCTTCAAACATAGTGCCAAGGAAACCTGCAGTACCTAGAACACCTAGGCTGAAGCATTTGCAGCGCCTGAACCTTAACCCTAAACCCCCTTTTTTGGTCCAAGCCCCGGGCCTCCCACAACAACGTAACGACAAAGTGGCTCTAATGTAGGGGCGTTAATAATTAGAATAGGGTTTTGGGCTCTCATATAGTATATTTATAATAAGAAACCCTAACAGCAAAATTGGTATTTGTTTAGGCTTCTACATTAAACCTGCCTGTCGGCATAAGAGGTGCCTTTCCTAAACCCTAAACCCTAAACCCTAAACCCTAAACCCTAAACCCCTAAACCCCACTTGGGCCGCATCTTAGGCCTTAGGCTCACCGGCCCAGTTCACACAGGTCCTGCTTAATCAAGCTCAAGACCCATAGCTCAAACCCTAAACCCCAAACCATAAAACCCTAAACCCACTTTCAAAACCGGTTTTAGGGTTTAGGGCTTCCATAAGGTATATTATAGACCTTCTATAAGGCTCCTACAACGGTAACTACCCACCTGAAAATGCCCTAGGCCCAGGTGAAGCAAGCAAGGACTGGACTAACGATGTCTACCTCAGTATGGCGATCGACACCGAGATGACACATAGTTGTTCTGGTTGTCCAGTATCCATAGGGGATCTTAAGGTAAACCTTTCATGTTATATAGGAAAAATGGTGCCCCAAAACCCTAAACCCTAAACTGTTAAAGGTTACCTACTCCACTAACCCTAAACCCTAAACCCTAAACCCACAAATGTTAAAGGTTACCTGGGTTTAGGGTTTAGGGTTTTTGGGCTTTGGGGCTTAGCCCCACTAAACCCTAAACCCCATCAGGCTTGGCCCCAAGAGGTGGCCTTCGACCTCACCCGCCGCACCGTTCAAGGCCTTCGAAGGAGGCTTCAAACATCTTCAAACGTCTCATGGTCTTGCGTTTAGGGTTAGTAGGTTCTCGGTTTAGGGAGCTTAGGGTGTATAGGGCTTGGGGTTTAGGCTTCAACCGGCTTCTTGGGGCTGGGAGGCTTGGTTTAGGGCCTCTGCACGGTTCCATATTCTGGTCTCCGGCGCTCAGCCTGGCTTTCAGGATTTAAGCTTCAGGGTTCAGGGTTTGCTGTCCTCAAACAGACCAACGGAGGAGTTGCGACACGACCTCAGACACGATATCAGCTCAACGATGCTGCTGCCGCTCCCCCTCCTCCTGCCTTCAGACGAAGGGTTTAGGGTTTAGGGGTTGGGGCCAGGGTTTCATGATATACACATTTGTGAAAGGATGCTGCTGAAGGTTTTGCGGCGGGAAACTGTTTAGCATTCAGGGTCTTCCCTGAAAGTATACATGACGGTCCGGAATGTGGTACTAGGCAATAGGATGTTCGCCGTTTCACGTTGCATAACTAATTGTCCCTGAGTCCCCGACACATCAACCTGAACCCTAAACCCTAAACCCTAAACCCTAAACCCCTAAACCCCTAACCCCTAAACCGCTAAACCGCTAAACCCCTAGACCCTAAACCCTAAACCGTTTTTATACGGGTGCCCTACTATTTCTTGGGGAGCCTAAGTTAGAGACCACCCATATCCGGGCAACCCGGAACTTTCAAGGCACCCCCTGTTATGTGGGTTTAGGGGTTAGGGGTTTAGGGGTTTAGGGTTTACGGTTAGGGGTTTTAGGGGGTTTAGGGGGTGTAGGGCTTGGGGGTTTAGGGTTTACGGGTTTAGGGTTTAGGGTGTAGGGTTTAGGAGTTTAGGGGTTTAGGGGCTGCTGACGTTCCGGCGCTGCACTGTCTTGGACTCACGGAACTTAAAACTGCAAAAACCACTCACTCCCGGAACCCCTAACCATCAACTCAATTCCACCTAAACCCTCAACCCCAAGCCCCTAAAGCCTCCAAAACCCTAACCCTAAGGGTCCAAATACCTGGTAATCATATACTCTCCCAAATAGTAACCTACATAACTACTATCCGAAACCTAAGTACCTCATTATTGGGTCCTTTGGACCCTTGGGGTAAACCATAAACCCCTACAGCCTCCTAGACCCTAAACCTCACCTAAACCCTAAACCCTAAACCCTAAACCCTAAACTCTAAACCCTAAACCCTAAACCCTAAACCCTAAACCCTAAACCACACGGGCCTCGAGCCCCTTCACACCCACGTCGGAGGTGATGCGCTTCAGTGCTAGGCGCTTCCTTGGGTTCTACATCCCGGCGTCCCTAGGGTCTACTGTTTACGGGTTTAGGGTTTAGGGTTTGGGGTTTAGGGTTTGGGGTTTAGGGTTCAGGGTTTAGGGCTAGGGCAAAAGAAGGGTAAAAATAGAAGGCGGAGTAACAAGACGAGGGTTCGAAGACTTCTATGCTGTAAGAATATAGTAGGAACCCGACGGAAGCACATCACTAGACATGCAGGGCCCTGTATTATAGAATCCTACCCTAAACCCTAAACCCTAGGTCAAGTACCTGTAGCGTAGTCAGGTTCAGCAATTGAAGTTCAGGGTCTCGGAAAACTTGCGGCTTCGGGAAGGAAGTCCCCTCCCCTAAACCCTAAACCCTAAATCCTAAATCCTAAATCCTAAATCCTAAACCATACATCCTAAAGCCACAGGCCTTGGTCCTAGACCCGAAAAACCCAAAGATCTTCAGGCCCCGAATGCCTAACTAAGCCCCTAAGCCCCGGCCTCTACACCCCGAGCCCTAAACCCTAAAAGCCTAAACCCTAGATCCTAAACCCTAAACCCTGACTGTAACCCGTAAATCTAGGCTCTAAATCGCATCCTAGTGTGCAGGCAGCAAGCTCAAGACCCTGGACAAGGGTTTAGGGTTTAGGATTTTGGGGTTCAGACACAAGATCCGCACAACCCGGCTTGGGGGCTTCTTGCAACCTGCAGGGGGATTTCAGGGTTGAGGCACGGCTTTCGGTTTCATAGTTCAGCATGTGGGGTGTCTTGTGCTTGGGTGTAGGGTTGAGGCCTAGGGGCAGGACAATCGCCAACCATTAGAGAGTGCTTTCTTCGGACACCTTGGCAACGCTACACCCTGAACTTTGAAAGGCAATGCAAGAACTCGCTCAAGCAACGGGTGAATTCCTCACGCAAATACAAGCACAACCACTCTTGCAACACCAGTTCAGTTTTGGAGGATCGTTTCTGCTATCTTACTATTGCGGTGGATACGTACAGTATGGCTGCGAGAACTGTATGCATTGCTGCTTTGATTTGCCTGCAACACTGCAAGTCTTGTTGTAGTCGGCTATAAGATAGTTCTAACTGTTCTCGAACTCACTAATCGAACTGTTCTGGCTGCGAATCATAAGGCCGCCACGAGTATGGCAGCTGACTGCTCCTGCTAGTACCCTCTTCTGGCTACAACTTGTCTTGCGAACTCAGGTACCAATTCTGACTGTTGAAGGAGTGTTGGATGTTTTGACCCATGAATCCAAGCCTGGACTGTTATCCCTTGCCCATAAGCCATAAGCACTGCCAACACATATCCACTACCAGCCTAAACCGCCGGCGCCTGAGACGTGCGAGCTGCTCATGCAAGGCTTTGAGCTTTAGGTTTAGTGACTTCAGGCAGGGGAAGAGACATCTTAGAACCTGTGCACGCGCTACATGAGAGTGGGCTCATCGGCTGGATTCTAAATTCGATATGTAGATATACGGGTAGTTCTCTAGATAAGGGTCCCTTTTTCGGTCCCCCAAATACTGTGGCACCCTCATAAAAAAATCAGAAAGGGACCCTAACAGGGACCCTAACTTCGAGAACTACCCATATTATGACGGCATCTGGGCGCTTTCAGGTTTGCAGCCGAGAGTCATAGCCACATCGGTTTTCGCGTTCGAAGCCATCATGATGGTGGTCTGCACAGAGATTCTCAATCCCCTTCAGTAAGGAATCTAGCCTAAAGTAGACCCGAAATTGTAGAGGGATCCTCGGTGCCCCGAAGTATAAATAAATAAATACATCTATAGATGCATACATACACACATGTATATCTCAAGTCAAACACCCTAAACCCTAAACCCTGATCATAACAAGCATAAAAGCAAAAGGCACATTTAGATTCTTCAGGTACTTAGGGGCTGAGTACCCTAACCCAAAAAAGGTTAACCTTTTGAATTATAGTAGGATCATACCTAAACCCTAAACCCTAAACCCTAAACCCTAAACCCTAAACCCTTAAAGGTTACCTACTCAGCCCCTGACTGCAAGGGTGGCTTTGGAGTCGATGGCCTGGCCTTTGGCATCGCTCGTCAGACTGAGGCTTCCTATCGTAGGGGCCGAAATAGCTAGGGTTTAGGGTTCAGGGTTTCGGATTTGAGGTTCAGGGTTTAGGATATAGGGTTTAGGGTTCAGGATTTCGGGATTTAAGCTGAATCGGCCACAAAGGCATGCCAAGTGTACAACGCGAAGACATCAAACGCAAACTCACAGGACCCTAACACCCCGACAGCCTTACTATGCCCTTCACCAATTTGATTTCGCGCTGCGCAGGTTAGCCAAAGCTTTCTATTCCGCATGAAATCCGCTCTAGACAATTTGTATCGGGTATGGGGCAGAGTCTACAACGAGTATGTAGGGATTACAAGACTGCCATATGCATTCGCAGGGAATTTTTCAGGGGTACGATAAGGGCGATTACGTTCAGTTCTTCTGTCTTTGAGGGCGACCACGGATTATAAGTGCAACTAGCAGAGTTACGAAGGGGGTTGTAGACTTTTGAAAGAAAGGGCTTCACGGCTTAGGGTCTGGGAGTTTTAGGATTCTTGTTTAATTCAGGCTTATGGGTTCAGATATTTAAAGGCCGTGGGGTTTTGTGGTGGCTCGGTTGGGGATTTTGGTGTCGGCGATTTGTTAAAGTTGCAGTCTGGAATTTTGTTGACAAGGCCCGTCTCTCCCTGCAATGACGAAAAACAGGCAAAAGGAATGAGTGCCAGTGTAGCACAATGTAAGGGCTACGTTTACTACAAGGGTGACCATCAGGGCTGCTCGAAGGGTAACCGACAAGGTTAAAATGCGGGTTACCTTCAAGCGCTACCATAAGGGTTACTGTCAGAAGGGGCACTTGAAGGCCTTCTGAAAGAGATGCTTACAGAGATCCTCAAGCTAAGCATAACTAAGCCCACACCCTAAACCCTCAACCCCAACTAAGTATGACTAACAGCCATAGTAAAGTGCCTGGATCGCTTTCTCCCACTCTGTGAGGAGGCGGCCCACCTGGCTCTTTAGGGTCTGGGGTGTGGGATCCAGGTTTCGGGGTCGAGTTTGGGGTTGAGGGGTGTAGGGCTTAGTGTTTGGAGGGTTAGGAGTATTATTAAACAGGGTTTTTGGGTTTAGGGCAGGGTTACCGATCTACTCGCTGCTCGAGTAAACTTCTTAATTAGGGTTTAGGCTTTAAGGCCCATGTTCTCTTCCTGTTCGTAAGCTTACCAACCAGGTAGCTGGCTGTAAATCTTCCGGCATCAGTTCTTTGCAACCGCGGCTTCCAACTCTGGGAAACCAAGCAAGACCCCCCCCGCGCCCCTGCTCCCTGTCCTTAGGACCCTAAACCCTAAACCCTAAACCCCCCTGCGAGTTGGTTGGGCTCCAGGGTTCAGGGCCCAGCAGGGCTTTGGGGTATGCGCCGGAACGGAGTCGGGGCCATGTGTAGATTCCCGGTTGAGCTGGGGATATCAGTACCGCTTCGCTGTCGTATCCAGAAAGCACTTACATGATGGTGTAGTCGGTGTAGTCTCCTAAGCTCGTAAGTACTTCGCAGATTATACAAGATATGTGCGGACAGAGTGCTCTTGTCGATGCTCGCTACCCGAGTGCCCGAGTTTGCTTGTGGTACTGACCCCTCAAACCCTTCAGGGCTTTAGCAGTTCAAACGGTCATTCAAAACCGGAAACCCTAAACTCTAAACCCCCAAACCCAAAATCCTAAAGCCTAAACCTTGAACCCCAAAACGCCAAACCCCAAAGCCTTTACAAACCCCAAAGCCGAAACCTTGAACCCCAAAACCCAAAATCCTAAAATCCTAAACCTTGAACCCCAAAACCCGAAATCCTAAAGGCTGTACAAGCCCTATAGCCTAAAGCCACGATATACCCCACATCCTAAAGCTCATATAAGCCTCAACCCTGAACCCCAAAACAATAAAGCCTAAAGCCTAAAGCCCATATCAACCCCAAAGCCTAAAGCCCATGTAAAACTCAAGTTCCAAAGCCCGTATAAACCAAAAAGCCTAAGCCCCCCAAAGTAGGCAAAACAACAATGGACCAACAACTCCAAATGGCTATACTTCTACATATACTTGGCGGTCCAGGTAAGGCCTAAACCCTTCAAACATCAACCTAAACCCTAAAACCCTTGAACCCCTAAACCCCTAAACCCTAGAACCCTAAAACCCTGAACCCTCAAACCCTAAACCCCTAAACCCTGAAGTACCCTTTAAAGGAAGCCTAATTAGGCACCCTATTAGACCCCTTTAAAGGAACCCCCGAAAAACCCTCAACCCTAGACCCTAAACCCCTAAACCCAAAACCCCTAAATCCCTAAACCCTAAAACCCTAAAACCTTATAGATCCATTTAAAGGAACCCTTATAGTACCCCTTAAAGGAACCCCCTAAAAACCCTCCACCTCGGCGGCTTCCAGGTTGCTTTCAGACCACGGGCGCTTGGAGACCTGCGCAGAGACCCCAGGATTCCAGGCTCCCTTGCTTTGGGTTTAGGGTTTTGAGGGTTTAAGGGTTTAAGGGTTTAAGGGTTAAGGGTTAAGGGTTAAGGGTTAAGGGTTTAAGGGTTAAGGGTTAAGGGTTTAGGGTTTAGGGGTTTAGGGTTTAGGGTTTAGGGTTGTTGAGGGGTTTGGGATTGCAGCTTAGGAGTTTTCAGCTTCCAGGGCTGCAGTTCGGGGGCTCAGCGATCTGGAGGGCAGCTGGTCCCGTGCTCAAGACTGTATGGGTAGTTCTCTAAAAGAGGGTCCGGTTTAGGGTTTAGGGTTTAGGGTTAGGGTTTAGGGTTTAGGGTTTAGGGTTTAGGGTTTAGGGTTGGTCCCTTCTCAGGTCCCCAACATAGTACGGCACCGTTATAAAAAGGACCCTAACAGGGGACACTAATGTAGAGAACTACCCGTATGTCAAGGAATCAAAGATGAGGAAGAAGATAGGTGCCACATACAAGAGCATCGACAACATTGCATGGAGCAAAAGGAACCGGCTCGTCGTATGTAAACCCTAAGACATTACATGTGCCATCTCCGCGCAGCTTCTACACTAAAAGAATAGCACCTAAAACCCAGATTCGCCGCACCCCCGAACTCACACCCTCGACGCCAACACCCACAACTAACAGACCCAAACGGTGTCGGTCTCACGTTCAAGCCTCACGGATCCCGGCCTCCAACTGGCGAGAAAAAATGGTCGTGAGAACATTGGTGGTATGTGACATGTGCAATGTCATCGCCGTCATCATGCCCACCAGTCCTCATCCTTCTCCTCGTCACCAGTAGCATCGTCAGCATCACCCTTACGGTGCTAATGATCAGCATGACCATCGCCATCAACATCATCACCGCCATCATCAAGAACACCATCACCATAAACATCGTCATCATCGTCATCGCCGGTGTCATCGTCTTCGTCATCATCATCATCATCATCATCGTCATCCTCGTCACCATCACCATCGCCTTCATCTTCATCATCATCATCAGCAGCATCATCAGCATCAGCATCAGCAACATCAGCAGCATCGTCATCATCATCGTCATCATCATCGTCATTTTCTTCTTCTTCTTCATCATCATCATCATCATCATTGTCATCATCATCATCATCACCATCACCATCATCAGCAACAACAACTTCTTCTCTCTCCTCCAGAAAACCACCAGGATACAACCAATCCAGTTGATGAAGGTGTTATATTTCACACATGAAGTCATTGGCTCCCGCTTCAAGCATGCACTTTGCAACTTCTTTCCTGTGTATGGGGGCGACTGTCATGGTGCTCTTCAGCCTGGACTGTTATAAGTAGTTATAAGGATCAACAAACCCGTGTGTGGTTCGTCTAGAAGTATCTTGCCCGGAGGTTGGGATGCCTTGTATAAGGACTCCTCTTTTGGGATTACCCCACCTACCTTCATCCCACCCTTGAAGCCCGTTGAGAATCTAAGAAGCCGAAGATTGAAACGTGCACCGTAAAGCCGTAAACCCTCGAACCCTACCCAAAGAATGAGGCTTAAATCCCAAAGCCCTACACGTTAGATTGAAGCCCCAACCACTAAACCCTGCAACTCCAAACTCAAGAAAACTCACAGAATCCGAAACCCTAAACCCTTAACCCTAAACCCTAAGTACAGGAATGCCTCTCAACACCATGCCGACCTTGTCGAAGGCAGCTGCGCAATCCGCTTTCTTCTGCTCTGCATCCTGGTAGGTGGCTTCCGCGCCCTAAACTTTATAGGGTTTAGGGTTTAAAGGTTTAGGATTTAGGGTTTAGGGTTTAGGGTTTAGGGGTGTCTGAACACAAAAGCCGATCATGCGGAGGTGGTCAGGCACTCTATCAGCGACTTGGAAGAGGGATGTAAATACATGTATCTGAAGCAAGTCAAAACTGGCTGCAGTGACTTAGAGCACCGCTTGAAGTACTTAGACTTCGTGAATAGTATCCAGTGCTTAATCCACGTATTCAGTATGCGATGTTTGGTGAATAAATAGGTGTAGCATCCGAGCCTCTATGCAATACAGAACTGTTTTCATTAGAATAGGATCTTGGGGAGGTCTCTTTTGAATGCGTATGATGTATATGTTTTAGGGAACCCGCAGGGATCGTAATACCCCAAACCCTAAACCCCTCAACCCCAAACGCCCTAAACACAAAACCCTAAACCCCTAAACCCCTAAACCTTTATAAACCCGCAACCCCTAAACCCTAAACCGAGCTTCTAGATTTCTTGGGGCCAAAGGTCGAAAGACTCAACCCGGACTCCTGCCTCGGGAGTTGGGGAAATTGAAGGACCCTGGTATGATAGGGGCTTTGTAGGGTATTGTAAAGGGACCTTAGTATGCACAATAGCTTGTATGAAAGCGCCCGCTAGAGCAGGGTATCAGAACGAACCTTAGTATGTGCAGTAGGGTTTTGGGGCATCTTATAGTCGAATACAAGCTGGAGTGGTTCAGGGATGGCTTCACTCGCGGCGACATGTAAATCTATGTCCAAGACATTTTGAAGCCTAGTTAAAGGTACATCGGGGCATGTATACTTGCTCAGGACCTACTTCACTTCGGATGATGAAGAAAGGTTTTGCTGACCCAATGTTCCTGTGATGTTCGGGTTTAGGGTTGAGGGTTTAGGGCCAAGGGTTTCGGTTAAGATTTGGTCACTTGCGCCTGAAACCGCTATGGGTGTCTGGCTTGTGGCCATGAGCCATTTATGATTTAGGGTTTAAGGTTTAGGGTTTAGGATTTAGGGTTTAACTAGGATGCAACCTTTTCTGCTGCCTTTGAGGGCTTCGGGTTGAATTTTAGGTTAGGAGCTTTTTGGGTTTAGGACTCAGTACTGTCTTGATCAGGGCCATCTTCGCGAGGTAGAGCCGTGATTGATGGAAGCCCGAGCATGGGCAGCTCACGAAATGCAATGGGTTCACCATATGGGTAGTTTTCTAAACTAGGGTCCCTTTTGGGGGTCCTGCTTATAAGGGTGCCGTACTATATTGGGGACCCAAAAAGGGACCCTAATTTAGAGAACTACCCATATGCTTTTGAACCTCCCACGGCACTGCTCCGTTGGAGTGGTACATCAGCGACTGCCTGGACTTTGGGCCTGGACTGGCCTTGACGGACAAACTACTAAACGTCTTCGTCGTCGGACTCTGGCAGCGCGCGGCGCGGGGCCGAAGTTTTCAGGGGTCGCACGCACCTCGGCCTGGACCGATGATACATGATTCTAGCTGCGAGTCGATCATGTGGTTGAGTGAGATTGCCACTCCCGTTCTTCAAACTCAAGGTCACCTGCAGCAGATGGGTGTGGATCTGTCGGATCCTTAGTAAATCACGTGAAGCGACTGATCCTGGAATCGAGACCTTCTGAGGAATGCTGGCAAGCAGGGATGCCTTGCGTTGGGCGGGGTCGGGTCTTCTAGGCCCGAAGACATGGCTAGAGCTCTGGGGCCTATACTGGGAATCGACTAGCGAACCCTCAAATATCTGCGGCGGTGGCTCCACCTTTCCTGGATGCTTCCTATGTGTTGCACCGCCAAAACAAAGCGCATAT